AGGGAACACAAGCCACTTGAGTAATCTAGAAATGGATGTTCTTTGTTTTCCGTACTTGGAAGCTAGAGAGTAAGATGGAAGTGAACATCAGGTAACATTCTTAAAACAAAAGATTGACAAAAATTTTTGAATGACAACAACTGGAAAGAGAAGTGAATATAGACAGTGGGCTAGGTATCAAGTTGGATATTTTGTGTATTTCTTTGAGTCCTTTTAATATCCTGTGAGATTGGTATCTTTTACACCATTTTACAGAAGAAGAGAGCTTCTGAGGATCTTGTCCCTCTAGCCCAAAGCTCCTGCTCTTGTTTGTTGCACTCCTTTATGGTTCTCCTGGAGAAACAAGGTGGTGAAAATAATCACAGTCATAAAGTCATGTAGTCATTTAGCATGTCCTAGGCACTTTGAACATATCATTCCTATGAATTTTCACAACAACCCCATGAAGAAAGTGCTTTACAGCTAAGCAAACAATATTAAACCAACTAAGTGGCCCAATAGTCCAAGACTAGGACACATGGCATCCACTGGCCTACAATGGGAAAGCAGATGTCTTTGCAGGAAAGGGGATGTTTTTACTGAAAGCCATGTGAATGGTTGGTGCAGATTGGGAAATTTTAAACATTAACATCTTCAGATAAGGGCTTCCTTCTCCAGAAAAGAAGCAGCTCTCATTCATTCTCTCTCAGAACTGAGTCTGAGTATATATCCAGATTCAAACAAATTCTCACAGAAACTGCATAATTAAGGCTATTTTTATGATTAATGCCATTTACTTTACCTAAATTTATCAGTGCAAACATTGCTACAGCAAAAATAAATGCTGCTAATGGTCGAACCTAATAACAAGAGAAAAGCCCCCAAAGGGTCAGTTAGGTCCCAGCTGCAGCTGTACTTCACTATATTTCATACTGGAAAGCTGAGATTAATAGGAAAATCAGGTTCTGCTGTGTTGTCCAGATGTGGCTACCCCTGCCTTAATTTATTCAGCAAACATTTGTTCAGTGCCCACTGTATGACAAGCAGTGAAGTAGCTGTTCTGGAATCACAGGGATAAATGGTACCTGGCACATTCAAGGGACTTTCAGTGGAAAGAAGTGTGGACATAAGAGCATCAAAGTGTGGTGGGTGATGAAAGGAATAGATTAGGAAAGTCCTCAGGGCAGTAGCTTCACAGGATGTTCTAATGTGACAGATATCCATCTTGGACCACTGCAGCAGGTGGGGGCCAGTGAGTGAGGAGTACAGAGGTGTGGAAGTTTTCTTGGGTTGGGTAGAAGCTGGTACCTACTGCAAAACTGAGTGTTAAGAAGAACAAGTTTAGCAAAAAGAAAGATTTTACTTCAGAAGACCAGTTTGCTTATAAAAGATTCATGCATGCAGCTCTTTTAAGAGAACAAATCTTATGAGAACAAATCTTAACAAACATCTGGTTACAGGATAGGGGCTTGAGTGTGTTGCCACTGCAGTGTTGGTGCCAGCAAAGAGCACCTACCACATGCCAAGACTTAGTACTTTTCAGGAACCATCTAATTTAATCTCATGATGACCTTGTTATGCCAAGGACCTCTTTTTACAGTTTTGTTCACTTTATAGATGAAGAAATCAAAGCTTCAATCTAGAAGCTCACCTTCCCAAAATCTCACAGCCAGGATTTGCACCTAGATCTTAGTGACTACAAAACTGAGATTCTTTCATTGATCCCCACTTCATCAGCTCACCAATATAACCAATACTCTTTATTCCTTCTGTAAAATGTTTACTGATTTCTTCAGCCCTCATGAGTGTTCCAGACTCTAATTTGTCTACACACTCCTGCTCCCACCAGTCAAAAGTTGTGTTTACTAAGAATAAAACCTGTCAGTATACTTGCTATTGTAATTACTTTATTAATAAAATACTAAGTGCTCTGATGTAATATGGCATAAAGGAAGTTGTTTTATCTGTGAAAACAGAGATAATACTTTGGGAAGATTCAATAAGTTGTTCCTTCTTCCTTTACAAGTGGCAGAATCAGTCTAATTATTGAGGTTTACAACATTCTGCTAATATATTGTTCCATGTTGTTTATTTTACATACAGGGTAACCATAAAAATAATTTTTATTTTCAATAAAAATAAAAGAATCAAAAGAACCTACTATTCTTAGTCCACTAAATGTAGCTTTCGTATTTCAAGATGTTTATGAAGTTCTAAAGTAGATGCGTTGTTTATTCCAAGGCCTTTCCAGGGTGGAAATGGCAAATGGTCCCCAAGATAAAATGACCCCATAAAGTTTTTGAACATCTTCTCCATAATAATGCAGACTCAATGCAGCAAATGTATTTTGTCCTCAGGATGCTTGTAAGACTAATTATAAAGAGAAGATCCTAAGAAATGGTAAGATGAAATGATCAATAAGAATTTTAGCAGAGTTGCAGGTAATATACTCTTAGGAAGTCAAGAATAAAAGGAAAAAGAAGAATCCTTAACAGCTTACATTTGTGAAGGTAATTTTGATAAAGAATGAATGTGTGAATGACAAGGCCAAAACTGTCCTTAGAGGTAAGAATTGTCTATGTTGTATATTCCCTAATCCTGCTAAAAAAATGTGTGGCAGAATGCTGCCTTAACGAATAACTGAAACTCATTTTCTTGATATCATTGAAAACCTTCTCAGGAAGTTCTAGATAGTACCAAGTAAATGTAACTGGAATTCTTGAACATATTCTTTTAAAAACATTTGTTCAGATTTTATTGTATGTCAAGCCCCATCCTAGGTACATGTTTATTATATTAATTCTCTCACTCATCGTAAGTATTTCTTTTCAAGCAGGCAAAATATCAAATCATTCATTTCAATTTATGTTACGATTTAGTCAGACTTTAAATTTAGTTTAAGATTTATTGAGTCATTCATGCTAGTCATCAAATTGATAATATAGAATTGAATTTGTATACAGCCTTAAAATTTCAAAACAAAGGCTTATCTTTGCTGCTAGTTTTGATTATAGGGTTAAAAACAAGTTCATACTCATACCACATGAAAACTTTTAGCAAAATGTCTTGAGATCATTTACTCACCAGCCTTGCTGCATTCCTATTAGTTACCATCACTGGTATTTACAAAGTAACTGTTGCCCTACCCTCAAAACCACACCTAATGGAAAATTAGTCCTTTTAAGATTTGTGGGATCTCATTGTACTATATAAACAGAAGCTACCTGGAACCAACCAGCCCCAACTGAGGAGCACTTGGAGAAAAGCCAGAGTTCAGCTACAAAGACAATTACAGAAAAGTGTGACAGACAGTTAGAATGGTATTTATAGGTTAAACATTTTCAGGACGATTTCTGAAGAGTCCTAGACTTCCAGCCTCTTTCCTCAACCTCTTTTCCTATTAGTCAGAACATCTCTGATTTTATTTGGGGTAGGGGGAGGTCCTAACTAACCTGTAGCCGGTTTAGAAAATCACTGCTCTACAAAATATCTTGAGGTTACTTCTGTAGACAAATGTCGTCAAAGTCAAGGTCTTCATGCTAGTCACCTCAGTGTGGGGAAGTAGAGTCTGAAAGATGCTGAGGCAGTGTATTTATCATGGTCGATGGGCCTCGGTTTCTTTAGTAGAAATTGTGTCTACTCCTAGGTTCCACAATTAGAGAAAGATGGAGCACTTGATGAAAAGTCAGAATACAGCCACCAAGACAATTGCAGAGAAAGACTGACACTACTGAGGAAACTGAAATTATTTGATTTGAAGAAACAGTTGAATAGTGGTCTTCTGGACACTGGAATTATCACATCGAGGTTAATTACGAGATTTCCTTCATGTGCAGGAAGAATATAATGACAGAGCAATAAGGAAAAGAGCCTATGTAATCAAAGGAGTAAACATTAATATGCTCTTTATGAAGGTTCTTTTGAAGGCAGTATGAATTCCTATCTGTGTTTTATGTATTAAAGTACTACCTAAGGGAACAGAGATGAATTAAATGAACTTTGTCTTTTTAACCATCTGAATCAGTGATTTGTCTTTAAATTATATAAGGTAAAGATGTCAAACAATTATTTTGAATTATAGTCTCATAGCCTGATGCTGCCGGGAGAAGAGCTACTTTCCAATAATGTTAAGGAAGTTAGTGGCGGAGAGGAACATTTATTCCAGAGGTCATGAACTCAGGATACCTATGGGGTCTGAAGGTATAACAAAAGAGGGAGGCACACAGCAGTGATGAAGCATTAGGGAAGTTTCTGTGTTTTAGAAGGCAGATGACCCATCTGAAAGGGGCAACCATGACCAGTGCTGGCCAATTGTTAGGATCCAGTGTGCCTATATTGACAGGTCTTTGGCTTCCTCAAAAATAAAAAGCTGGGTATCTAGAATTTTACATGAAATTTTTTTTCATATTGACAAAATAGTAGTTTTATAAAAGCCCTACGCAAGCATAATATGACTTATGGGTAGTCTGTGAGTTAGAAACCTATAGGTTATTCTATGGCTTACTAGTGGACCACCGAAGTAATTAACAAACCAAACAGAACTGAAGGAACTCTAAAGCTTAGGATAATTAAGGTAGTAAACCTTTGCAAGGCTTAATTAAGTTTCCCTCCGACTCAATGAACCTTTGATCTCTGTTTCCTTCCTCCTTGCTCTCACTGTTGGGTGGCTTTTTCAAACAGGAAGTGGGAATTTAAAGAAATTACTTATTTCTCTTAGCAACATAATTTTTTATTTAGTAAAACCATCAAATATTCAAGTTGAAAAAACAATTGTTGATGCTGTCAGATTTTTAGAAATGCCCTGTGTGGGGCACAGACTTGTTCCTTTGGCTGTTTGAACTAACATTTGTATATAACACTGGCTGCATGAGGCATGCTCAGTTAAAAAGCTGACTTACACTTTTACCATTTGGTGACATGATTTATTTTTCTTTTATAAAATACTTTCAAATAACTCATCTCCACCCAGGGTAAGGACTGCTGCATTTCTGAAATCCCCACTGAAATTCTGCTCCTTTCAGACAGGAGAATATGCCACAGATGAAGAAGAAGATGAGGTAGGGCCCATTCTTCCTGGTGGTGACATGGCTATTGAAGTCTTTGAGCTGCCTGAGAATGAGGACATGTTTTCCCCCTCAGACCTGGACACAAGCAAGCTCAGTCATAAGTTCAAAGAGGTAAGCCAATGATCTACAAAATATTTATCTGTGCTTGTCCACTTCATTATTAAATAGTGTTTTGTTTGCATAAGATATCAAGAATAATCAATCTTCTAATGAAAGCTTTTGAATAACAGGTTTTTATGAGTCTCAGATTTCAAAGTAAAATTTCAATAGATTTCATTGCACTATCACTAATTTAAATGGCAGTTTATAAGATGCCCTACCACTGATGAATGGATTAAGAAAATGTGGTATCTATACACAATGGAATTTTATGCAGCCATGAAGAAGAACGAAATGTTATCATTCGCTGGTAAATGGATGGAATTGGAGAACATCATTCTGAGTGAGGTTAGCCTGGCCCAAAAGACCAAAAATTGTATGTTCTCCCTCATATGCAGACATTAGATCAAGGGCAAACCCAACAAGGGGATTGGACTTTGAGCACATGATAAAAGCGAGAGCACTCAAGGGAGGGGTGAGGATAGGTAAGACACCTAAAAAATTAGCTAGCATTTGTTGCTCTTAACGCAGAGAAACTAAAGCAGATACCTTAAAAGCAACTGAGGCCAATAGGAAAAGGGGACCAGGAACTAGAGAAAAGGTTAGATCAAAAAGAATTACCCTAGAAGGTAACACCCACGCACAGGAAATCAATGTGAGTCAACTCCCTGTATAGCTATCCTTATCTCAACCAGCAAAAACCCTTGTTCCTTCCTATTATTGCTTATACTCTCTCTTCAACAAAATTAGAAATAAGGGCAAAATAGTTTCTGCCGGGTATTGAGGGGGTGGGGGGGAGAGGGAGGGGACGGAGTGGGTGGTAAGGGAGGGGGTGGGGGCAGGGGGGAGAAATGACCCAAGCGTTGTATGCACATATGAATAATAAAACAATAAATAAATAAAATAAATGGCAGTTTATAGACACACCTAACTTGAATGTGTGATTTCATTATAAGCTCAAGTTATTTTTTTCAGTTTTACAGAAGTTTTGATACCTGCTTTCCTCTAAGGCAGTGATTTTTCTTAAAAAGGTCTCTTTTTTTTTTTCCTTTTCCTAAAACAGAAGAATCAGTTGTTATACCCAAAAAGTTAACAGAACTAACAAGGGATGGTGAAATACATAGGGAGTTACACCAGTGTGAAGCTGTCACCATATTTTGGCTTAATAAGTATAGAGAAGGAAGGAGATTCCTTTTTTGAAGAAGAACTGTTTAACACTTAAAGCTTTACAAAATGTAGCCACTGCTAAAAACTGCATCCCTGAGGTTGTTATGCTATTGAGTTCGCCCCAAGCAAGGGAGTCCATGTGATACAGTCTCAAATTCTGAAGAGGTCAGTCTCCCAAGGCAGGGAGATGTCAGAGAAGGGCCAGGAGTAGATCCTGAGTGAGCAAATGGAGATAACCATGTGAACTCTTTTTGCAAATTAACTATCAGAGCTACAACATGTAAATTGAATCAGTGGTTACTAGGTCCCCAACCAACTGACCTTTTATTGTTTAAGGGGAGCATCCTCCATTGTTGAAGATGAATGCGTCATTATTTCTATATAACCTGTAGTGTACCTTGGCAAAGGCCTATCCTATACAGCATTCCCATGTGGTCAGGTAAGAAGTACGATCCCTAGTCTCCAGTAGATGACAGAGCTAGAAGAAGGGCTCACACTCTTATAGAAGTTAGAGAGTCTTAGAAAGTAGAAATGAGATATGGAACGTTATATCCTTCATTTTGTAAATTGAACCAAAAACTGAGGGCTCCATAAATACTGTTTTAAATATGCACCATTGTGTGGCAACTGCATGATCTAAACCAGACCAGAGGTTGGCCCTCTATGCAACATTGGCCAAATCTACTTACTGCCTTTTATAAATACATAAATACATTTTTATTCTAACACAACCAGGCCCTTCTGTTTATTTGTTTGTGGCTGGTTTCAGGCTACAATAGCAAAGCTAAATTGTTGCTACACAAACTCAGTGGCCTACAAATCCTAAATTATTTGCTATCTGCCCTTCAACTGAAAAATTTTGATGACCTCAGCATATACAGCTACATGATCTGAACCCATCCGATGTGACATGACTGGTTTAATTTTAGCCTGGTTAACCAAACTTGTAGTTTTCCTTTAACTTTGGTTTTGAAGAATTAAAGATTTATCTTAATTATTATTTACTTGTAATTCTTTCTCCTTTTGTTTTGTATTTAACATATGAGTATATATTAATTTCTTCAGATAGCAACCTAAAGAATTCTATTCTATTCTAAATTCTATTCTCATGGAATTTGTGTTTTAGGCGCTGCCACTGGAACAATCTTAAGTTTACCTATGTCACTAATAGACATACCCAAACACTGTACAGCACTAGGCATTCTTTACAGGATTGTACACTGAACTGGATTAGGGAGATCACAATCCAAGGCTAGCCTGGGCAAAAAGTGGGAGACTCTACCTGAAAAATAAAGCAAAAAAGGCTGGGGTGTGGCTTAAGTAGTAGAGCACTTGCCTACTGAGTTTGAACTCCACCCAGTACCCCACCAAAATAAACAAACAAAAAAAGAAGAAAATAGCTTTTGTTAGTTTGCTAGGTTGGACTAAATGAGAAATTTTCTCCTACTTAATTCAACCATTTCTGCCTTTTATTTTATTTTTTTATTAATTTACATCACTTGCTTTCCTTAGGCATATTTGAATGTTCACATACCAACTCCTTGCACACAGTGTTTAGTTTTTTGTAATATTTTATCATTTAAATATCCAAGCAGTTACAATGATGAATTTGTATATTGTTGTGCCTTTTGCTACATATTTCACTTCCAGTGTGATTTTTCTTGTCATCACTTTGTAAATAGTCTCTGATTTTCATTTTTACTACTTCATATTCTCTTTGACCTGAATAGTTGGAGAGACAGCTTTAATTTGTAAAATTTTTATAAAGTTAATATTTTATTATGTCACAGACGATAACATTGTCCTTTCAACTTTCAATTTTTTGGAAAAATGTTTATTCTAGATTAATAGGAGTATCTATGATAAAAGTGACATTTGTTTTAGACCATCTGAATCCTTTTTTTTTTTCCTTACTTATTCCTTAGTCTAATATGCTGAGGATAGATGTATAGAGTTAAATCATACCTCATTATTATTCTTGTATCTTAAGGATTTTGATATCTGTTTTGATGTTGTATTTAAAGTTCATCAGATATGACAATGATTTTTTTTACCTTTAAGTACACTTTATCTGACAATAATATTCTGACTACTCCTTTGCTGGACAAACACACACGTGTATAAATATGTACCTACTCTTAATAAATCCTAATTTTGGCTCTTTGTTTTAGTGTGACTTCAAAAAATATGATCTTGGAGTGCTCTTAAAGACTGTGTCTTTGAAATATTTTTGTGGGGAGGCAGTACTGTTATTCAAACTCACGGCCTCATGTTTGCTAGGCAGATGCTCTATCACTTGAGCCATGCCCCCTCTGAGTCTATATCTTTTACTAAGAAAATTTTGCCAATTTAAACTTAGTATAATTGTTATTTGATATCTAATCACTCACATCTTGTTTTATGTTTCTTTTATGCTTTTTTTTACTATAACTTAAAAAAATAAGAAAAAACAATGCCATTTAAATGCCCCATATGGAAGTTTTTGATACAGTCATAGGTTCTAAGAGAGATTGTTACTAAAATGTGGTTTTTTTGAAACGGAGTCTCACTCAACAGCCTAGGCTGGCCTTGAACTCATTTTGTAGCCTAGGGTGTCCTTGAATTTTCAGTTCTCCTGCCTCAGCTTTCCAGGTACTGGAATTGTAGGTATGCACCACCATGCCCAGCAACCTAATACATTTTTTTAAATTTATGTTTTCAGATTGCTTTAGAATACATTTGCAGCTAATACATATACTCTCAGGTTAATCAGTTTCTACTATTATTCCTTTTCTAGCATCAGTTCCTAATTCTTAAGCTTTGAATTTTTTCTAACTTCTTAGAATATGTCTTTAAGAACTTTATTTGGTGTTTGTGCAGGGTATATTTTTTCATGAGCTTTTCATACCAAGAATGACATTCTGATGATCATGAAATAAAAATGATAATTAGTGGGTTTAACATTTTAATTCATAAGCTTTTTACTAAAAATATTGTAGGGTAAGCTTCACTGTGTTAGGCATATTTTGAAGGAAGTCTAACATCAACTTGGCATTTGGATGCTTCTGTTTTTTTCAGCCTATACTTAGAATTTTTTAAATTATAGTTTCTTAAAGCAGGCCTCCTTTCATTAATTTTTCACTTTTAATATGCTTTCTTTGTTTTATGTTTATTTTTATTTTGTTTTATTTTCGGTTTAGTCCATTAATATTTTCTTCAGTTTCTGGTTTTTTTTTTTCTATTTTTGTTACTTTTCTGGAAACACTGTCATCAATACTTATTTACCCCCTTTTCCACGTTTGGGATTATTTCTCCAATTTGATCTGCTATATCAATGTTACTCAGTTTTTTTGCATCATTAAGTATGTTTTTAACTTCAAATTTCTTTATACTCTTTAGCACTTATAACATGATTTAGTTCTCTTATTCAAGGTTTAGTTTTCTTCCTTTCTATCCTTACTTCACCTTCTTTACTTTCTTTCATTCTGTTATTCTCATGAGTAACCTTAAGATATTTTTTAATCACAGGACACGTCATTTTCATAGGTTTGCTTGCTTATGTTTTTCCATTGATGCTCTCTTTCTTTATCTTGATACAGGTTTAGAAATGGGATTCAAAATGTTAAAAGGTGAATAATTACCAAGCACAAATACAAAACTTCTTGTTTCAAGATAAAGGGAAAACAGACCACATAGGCCAAATAACAAACTCTGTGGATCACCTGTGTCTATTTTACTCTACTTTGGAATCTACAGATGAAAGTGTGCAATGCACGTGCAATGTAGTGCACCTGCCAGCATTCTGCATTCTAATAGTTACGTTCTGAACAAGTACAGAACACTGAAGAAGTTGGACAACCTGGTTG